GACAGACAGACAGACAGACAGACAGACAGACAGACAGACAGATAGATAGATAGATAGATATGACCATAGAAATGACCACAGAAATTATTGTATATGTGTGTGTGTGTGTGTGTGTGTGTGTGTGTGTGTGTGTATTAGGCAGAAATTACCTTGTAGAAACTATATATGTATAATTTCCACAAAGTCATTTCTGCCTGATATATATGTGCGTCTGTGTGTCCGTGTGTATATATAGTCATTTCTGTGGTCATTTCTATATTATACATATAGTTTCCACAAGGTCATTTCTGCCTAATAGCTGAAACTCTCTGGGGAAGTAATTTCATAAATGGGGTTTACAATAAAACACACTATATAAATAAAAATATATAGATAAAATATACCAATATAGTTTAAATAAATGCATAATAAAATACAAAATAAAAACACAATATAAACTAGGCAGCAGCAAGGTGACCATTCATAAAAATTAAATTACAATTAAAAGTCTATTAAAAAGTCTAGGAAAATAAAAAGGTCTTCATCTGGCCCCAAAATGATCCTAATATGAGCACTAGTTGAGTTTCTCTGGGCAGGGAATTCCAAAAATGGGGTGCCACCTCACTTCCTTTGATAAGGGGACCTGAAGGAGGGCCTCATTAAGCAGAGAAAATAATGGTTACATAAATAAAAGCATAATTTAAGCCTGGGAAATAGTGAAAGTGTGACAAAGAAGTTCAGCTGATTCCTCCCTAATTCATTAGAGTAGAAGAGGGAGGGAGTGGATAATTCAGTCAGGCTTTCAAGTTTCTGTTATTATAGCCTAGGCCAAAAAAGTATAGTTCCAGTCAGAGTCTGTCTCCTGAATAGGCCTACCTTGAAGAGTTGACCAAAAGATAGCCCCAAGAGCCCTGTATACTTCCTCAGGAATTACAGGATGACATATTGTCCAGGTAATAGGTTAGGCTCAGTCAACTCAACCAGACTTGCCCAGTCAGAATACAACTCCCAAGTGACTTTGTCCATCATATACCTAGCATATTCCTTACAGTGGCCCTAAATATGTTCTTGCAACCTCTCCCTCCCACAGGGAACAGGTCAACTTAAAAAAGGCCACTGGCCATCTATCTATGGATGTAATAAGAGTGGAAAAAATATATACTGTATGTTTTGCTGCTCTTATTGCAATGATAGAATGCCTAATATGAGCTCTTACATGTGTTCACTAGGATTCACTCTTTCTTTTTCTCCAGTAGTACAATACTCTGGGCATCTCTTCTCTTATTGCATCTTCTGGGGCTCCCCAGAAAACCAGAGAGAACCCCAGGACTGATGAACAGGGAGTGGCTTCAGTGGAGCAATCCAATCCAAGACCCTCAATACCCACTCATTCCAGGCAGAGACTAAAGCTTCACTCAAACTGCCCACTAGATCCCCAGGAAAAATTGCAAGCTCCCTCTGAAACTATCCAGATCCATTAGTGACCTGATACAGACCAATCTAATAGACTCAACCTCTCTATGGCAGGTGGGAAAGCACCAGCAAATCAAAAAAGCAACCAGAAAGTGATCTCACATAACTTCAGATCACATTGCAACTGCCCCGATACAAAAATAAGATCTAACGTGACTACCTATGTGTGTTAGACTGTCAGTAACCTGGGCTAGATCCATGGTTGCCATGGTGGCCATGAACTCTTGAGTCACTCCAGGCTCTACATTATACAAAGGCAAATTAAAGTCTCCAAGAAGTGTTAAAAACTCCACCACCAAGTTGGCAATGGAGTCAGGCAGAGGTATTGCCGCATAGCAGGGAAGTTGGTACAGCAGAAATCAACCCACCTCTCTGTAGAGCCCAACTTCAACCACAAGATCTCACAGTTGGATATCTGTGGTGCAAAGCTTCTGAAAGCTAATGGGGCTTTCTGGATAACAACTGCTATCCCATCTCTCATATACTGGGTTTATGGCTAGTACCATTCTCAAAACCTTGGTAGACACATCTCCAAGAAAGGAACACCACCCAAAACAATACTTGTTACACCTTTCATTTTCTATGTGTTTTCTGTTAAATCACAAAATGGGGATGAGATCGAACAATTGCCTAACCAATACTTGGAAGAATCAAAATTACATTGGATTGTCCTTTATCAAGTACTGATGGAAGGCAATATGTGAAAAATCTAAAGGAAACCAGATATCTAGAAATGACAACTTTTCTACATGGTATATGTGGCATTTCAATTGTTAACAGACTGACAAAACTGTTAAAAATGTTGCTACTTACAAAGGGAATTTATTTATAAGTAATTATATTACGCCCTAGCCTTCTTCCTAGAAGGTCAGGACCACTTACCTGGTTCTTCTCTACCCCTCCCAATATTTTACTTCTTATGATGTGAGGTATTCCAGCTCAGTGAAAGTGCCTGGCCTAAGTTCATGACTAATTGATGAGAGTGACCTGAGTCTCTGCCATTTAAGTGTGCAAAACAAATGAATACAATAGCCTATCATGATTTGATGCCTTCGATGTATTCTTGTTTTTTCTTTTTCCCCTGCTACAGCCTTGTCATGAGCTATTAATTCTGCATGGATGTTTCTGCAGTGCATTATTCCCCTAAAAAATTATTTACTTTATGCTGGAGAATTTCACTCCACCTTTTGACCCCCAGAGGTACCCTACTGTAACTTCCAATTAAAAATATAAAAATACAGTAAACCATATGGGATAAAAAAATAAATGCAATACATCAGTTAAATAATTCAAACCACAAAACAGGGGTAATAACCAGGTCATTTTAAATATACTTAGCTGTAGCAGGAGGTTAGAGCAGAGCAATGATATAGTAGGATAAGACATATTAACTATCTTTCTAATATTCCAGCTGTAGGCCAACCAAATGTCTTTTAGGAGTGGCCCATAATCCATGAGCTCCTGTGCAGAAGACTTGCTAGAATATCTCCACCAAGCTCATCTTTGGAAGTAGAGGAACTACAGCAGAGCCTCAGAAGCTCAATGCCAAGTTCAAGTGCATTTGTGTGAGATGAGACAGTCGCAAATCCCTTAGGGTATTTTAGATAATAATAGTAAGGCTGTGTAAATGCTGCAGATGATTTGGAAGAAGTGCTTTGGATCTCATGTGAGCATGAACACAGCACCTTTCTGCTCTTTATTAAAGCAGCCCCTTTTTTTCCCCAGGCTTTTGCCCAAGCCAAAAGAAAGGTATGACGGCTTCAACAGTAACATTAATTTTAATGAATCCGCTGCTTAAAGCAGCCACACCTTTTTTCCACCTTTGTCATTTTCCAGAATGTCCCAACTGTCCTGAACTTTTTTTCCTTCAGGATTTCCATCCTTGAAATCCTTCAAGCTCTTTTGAACTCTAGAACCCTAATCTGATTATCTTCAGTTCTCCCTGCCTGCAGTATGGTGTATTCTAGGATCACATGGTTGGACACTCCCAAGGTTCCTACAATTTCCACTTCCTCAATCATTTCTTCCATGTTAAGTCCAGTATAGCTGATCCCCTCATTCCCATCAGGTATCAATAATACTAACAATGTCATATTTATCCCCCTGCTTCCCCCCACACTAGGACCTTTATCCTAGGGCTTTCAAGTTCTCCCTGTTTGTTCCTCACATTCTGATCATTGGTGTATAGGCATCTAAGCCAACTAGTACTGCCCTTCTTAGGTTTGCCTGCTGCATCTCCTGGTGCATTTCTAAGTACCCTTCTTACACTTCCTTCCTTGTTGTAAGGTTTACTGCTGAATGGTAATGTGCATTCTCTAAATTACTGGCTCTCTCAGTGCAGAAATCTTTTTATGTATCTTTATAAATCTTTTGATTTTTTAGAGCTCCTTATCATGGTAATGTGATTGCTCTATATTGCACTATTAGGGGACGTGGGAGTGCTGTTCCTCCACCACCACCTGGACGAGGAGCTCAAGTAACAAGAGGAACCCCAGTGACACGTGGAGTGCTCCCAGTCCCACCTGTCACCAGAGGGGTCCCTACCCCTCGAGCAAGAGGAGTTTCAGCAGTACCAGGTTACAGGGCCCCCCCTCTACCAGCACATGAACCTTATGAAGAATATGTAAGTACCTGTTTTCCAACCACAAAAAGAAATGTCAACTGTTAGCTATATTTCATATCGTTGCAAGTTGTTATTCATATGTTAATTGTACCCATAAACATCATCCTGAAGAGTCCCAAGGGGATTGTTTCTATTTGCTGAGCTGGGTGCTGTATTAGCTTTTGCAGTTTCAGAGTTATTCATGCCATTATCTTATCCCAAGTATGTTCTTTTGCAGAACAGTTCATCCTGAGCCAGTGCTATTATATGCATAGATAAATATAATGCCTACCTGCTTTTTTGCAGTGATTCTGAGGATTGCTGATTGCATTAAGTCTGAAAGTCTAAACTTTGAAAAGTGTTATATGAATGTTTAGCCTTTAAATTATATATTGATGTGTTAGATTTTATATCTTACTTTTCCTCCAAGAGTTCAAGGCAGCATGCATAGCATTACTTTCTTCAGTTTTTCCCAGGACAAACCTGTGGAAGAGGTTGAGTTAAAAGCTAGTGAGTGGCCCAAAGACATCCAATGAAGTTTATTTGGGGTACAGTATACCAAATTACATCAATTTTATTCACTTGTATTTTTTTTTTGTTTTCAAGGTGGCTGCTGAGATGAGAGATTTATTTGCTCACCAGATAACTGATGAAAGGGAAAGTGCTTGTTGTTCATCTATTTAATTGGTCAATGTTGAACAAAGTAGTTCTCTTAAAGTCTGACTGTCCCAAAGCCAGTGTTTAAAAAACTATGCTTTTTAAAACAGCAGAATGTTATTTTATTTTCAGTTAACTAAAATACAGAGGCAACACCAGAACAGACCAAGTAACAACATTACAAGTGCAAGTACATTATTGATTTGTTTGTTTATTTATTATTAAAGGTAGAGCCCTCTTTTCTGTTTTATAAAGAAATGTGTTACAAACAATACAACAACAAAAGACATCTTTCAAAATCACTGATTTTTAGAGAGCTAGTGTGGTGCAGAGATAAAAAGTGTTGAACTAGGAGCAGAAAGACCCAGCTTTTAATTCATCCTCAGCCACAGAAATTCCCTGGGTGACTTTAGGCCAGCCACTCTCTCTCAGCCCAACCTACCTCACAGGGTTTCTGTTGGGGTGATAAAAGTAAAGGAAGGTGCCAATGAAAGCCAACAGGAACTCCTGGAGGAAAGGCAGAATATTCATGTTATGTTTATAGGGGTTAAGATAGGCAGGGCATGCTTGTGCAATACTTAGATTGAGAGAGAAGCATGTTATCTAATTAAAGATCAGATATATAAGCTGTGTGCATGTATGGGTGTGCACTCATGCATATATATATATTTTTTAAGCTAGAGATGGATCAGTAGTTCATCAGAGATAAATGGGAATTTTGATCTGTTTTCTGTTCAGGGGCATTCTTGCTACTATAATCATTTAATTTCTGTATGAAATCAGAGCAAAACAGATCATGGCCAATCGGTCTCCTGCTCAGGTATATCATCTTGGCTTTGGAGCTTTGGATCTTGTGTTTGCATTTGGATGGTTGGCTGTGATCTTTCTCTCTCCTCCTCCGACTTGAGGCATGTGGGGCCATGATTGTTTAATCATCTAGAAAAGTAGGGCTTTCAAAAAGAAGACTGCAGCCAAGCCACCTGCATACTTAGGCTCTTGAAGGTTTTGAAATAGGCTTTCCAATGCATTGATTTACTTTTTTAAAAACAATTGATCTCTCATGGGTTATTTTATTTTCTTTCAAGAAAAGAATGGAGGGGTGTTCAATAGCTCACTACTGTGAAAAATCCCCAAGTAATAATATTTGGATGATGTCCTAAATAGGTAGTGTCAAAACTTTACTGAAACTAACCTAGCAGCTTGGAAGCCTACTCAATATGAATCTAACAGTAGAACTGAGATAATTATAGGTTCTGATAAAAAGGTAGCACAATTGTTTCAGGTTTCCAAAATATCTGCATAAGAATAAGAGTTCCATTTATCCAAGGCATCAAATTATAAACGTTCATCTCTATCAAAGCATAAATGCTTTGGGGACTGTTGTGTGCTGGGAATTCTGGAGGATGCAACACTGACCACAGTGATCACTGATTAGAAACCAGTTTCTTCTATCAGTATTCCCACTTAGTACCACTTACAGTAGATCATTCTTTCTGTTCATATTAAGGTATCTACAACAGTGTTGTCTCAATCTTTATTTTGCCCAAGGCCCTCTTCCAACCTTATTTTTCTCATGTGCCCCCACCCCACCCCCTGTCCAGGCTCCATTACTGGTGTGGAGGTCATGGGACAGTAACTGGTGTGTTTTCTGACATCAACAAGACAGTATTTGCCATATAATGTACTTTGGTCTTCTGCGCCCCCCTCAGCATGTGCCATGATCCTGTGTACATCTGTTGGTGCTCTGAAGAGGGGAACTTGCATCCTACCAGAAATTTGGCTTGACCAGCAGCATAATAAAACTCTAGATATAACGTCTCTTTTGTCTGGAGTCTACCAAGAATAGTTGGATTCAGACTTGGGTTTTATCCTTAGCAGATTCAATCACTCATTCCATTTCATTTACAGCCCAAACCAGAGAAATAAAATGAGAGCTGCTGCTTTTAATGCTGTGCTGGTTTTTCCCTGTGTTGTTTTTTAAACATAGCAAAAATTACTAAAAATGAAACCTAATGTCACATCCAACTCTTTAAGCTCCATTTGCTATTTGCATTTTTCAATAGTCTGGGGACAAATGAGAATGACTGTACTTATTCAACAGATTTATGGACAGTGTGACTTTTATAACAGAAGACATTTTGTCACATTTTAATATTTCTGCAGAAATACACAAACACCAGTTGTGGTATGTATGTATGCATGTGTATGTATGTGTGTGTAGCTGAATGTATGTGTGTATTTAAGACAGAAGCTGAAATCTTTGCAACTGTTTCATGATCAATAGGCCTGTGTAATAGGCCTATGTAACTCTTGAAGCCATGAATAGCAGGTACTTGAAAGCTTGGCATAAGTGTTTCAAGGCCCTCATGAAGCCTTTTTAGACATGCATGTGCATGTCCAGAAATCCCTTCTGTCGGGACAGCTGGCAAAAGTAACATGCCCAGGAGACGTGGCGAGGGGGACCTCAAAGCAGCCAAGCTGAACCTCTCCAGTGGCAACAGCTGATCTGCAGTTTTAAGGAACAGATCCAAAAGGACACTTCACCTTCAAGCAAGGTGCCTCCTCAGATATTTGCACAGTCCTAAATAGATAAAAATATCTAGTCCTGCTCTGGTGGCTTTTCTGGCTCCATCTGGAGGCCATACAAAGTTCCATGTAAACTTTTGAAATCTAGGTAGATGGCAAACAGTATGAATTGGCAGTAGCTGAAAATGTGGACAATTGCTCACTTATCTTACATATTTATTAAAACATTTCAGGGTGCTTTCTAATGCTTCAGAACAGTTGATCAGAGTGTACAGAAAAAACAGCCCCCTATTGTATCTCTTTTTCCTAAGTACTTGTTTCTTCAAAAATTTTGTCTGTAACAGCTCTGGTGAAATCCCTATTTTAGAAAGAAAGGAAGGAAATCAGCTTCAGTCTCTTTGCTCACTGTCCTCATAATCAGAAATAATGCCAAGGTCATAATCCAGCCATGCTTGTATGCTAATTCCAGGTTAAATAATGGGTGATACAGTATCTAATAGTTCTTCAAAGATCCATTCATAAATAGCTAATCAACAGCACCACAGATTGATTGATTGATTGATTGATTATTTCTTTCTTTCTTTCTGACTAGTACATAAATAAGTAGAATAGAAATAGAATGCAAGTAGCTAAAGATGCAAAGCACCTCAGAAGAACATGTACTTGTCTAAGTAAAGAATTAGGCAATTGTTCATTCCAAAAATGAATATTTTGCATTGATTTACAGGGGAAAAGAGAATGATAATCATATATGGCAAAATAAGCATATTTAAATACACTGCACTGAAAATAAAAGCATAGTTACACTCCAATCAATTTATATGTCAAAATAATACAACTATCTCTATTATTTAAAATTATGTTTTTATTCATAGCTTTTCTGGTATTGTATTTATTACTTATTGTGAGTATAGAAAATGAACAAAATGATGAAAAACATATGGCATGCACTGGTGATTGGAGCAACCCAGACAATGAAACTTATTAGTCTGAATAGCATCTTGATTTTAAGTGATGGATTAATTTTACACCTAAAACATGTAGATAAAGGGCTAAATTATATTTTATTAATATGTGCAGTTTCTTGAAGATTCAAATGATATCCTTTCAAGATAATGACAATAAACAGTAGCTTGATTACATCTTATGAAGATTATATTAGAAGATATTAGAAGCTAATATGAATAAAAATGCATCAAACAATAGCAGGAGTGAGAAGGTTTGTATTCTGCTCCCATCCCTGCATTTAACAAAAGGCTGCCACTCAATTCTTTAGGATTTTTTTTAATTACATCAAGAGAGAGGTTACTTTTTACCTTTATACATTCTAGACAATTAAATTCTTTGCTGGAAATGTGAACGATGTGAAGGGATATTTTATCATGTTTGGTGGACATGTAAAAAAGCCAACAAAAAAAAAAAAGGTACACAAATACATACATTAATTCAGAAGATTTTAAAGGTTAAAGTACAACTGAAACCAGAGACTTGCAGCTAGGAAAAAGTCATGGTACTTTGTACTACCCACAACGGAGGAATGGTTGGTGAAGAAGATGGAAAAACAATATCTGCATTTATGGCTGACTAGAAACCCCTTATAGACTTTTTGCATGAGACAGAAAAAAATGCACTTATGATTTGTGGTTCTGATGATTAGAAAAAAAACTGGATAATAGAAAACAGTGAGGGTTTTTTTTTTTTTTTTTGTAATCATAGAATAAGAGATAATTTTGTAATTGTACTTGTTTTTGCTGCAAAAGAAATCGGAAGTTTCTTCTATTTTTCATTCTTTCTTGCTGCACTTTTTTTTTTTTGCTGCTTTTACTCTTAGTTTGAGT